CATCATCTTTCCTGACACACCAAGCGATGGAGCACGGAGTGGTGTTTCCCACTGGTAGAGAAACTGGGTCAGAACTTCCCACCATAGCAATCGGGGATCTGACACGCTCAGAACCATCGCAGGAGCTTTTAGTCAGGATCATCATGAAGGATCTCCATGCAGGAAAAGGCTCCTACTTCAGAAACAATGAGTTCTACATGCTTTCTAACCAAAGAAAAACTAGAGAGATGTAAGGCTCAGCACATACCTCTACTACAGGAGCTGCTGTAATGCAGCTCTCCTTGGAGATGGGTACAGGACCGCTGCTGGGACCACTGCAGTACCCCCATGTACCATATTACTGCGAGGAGGCTGTCATCTGAATGAAAATGTTCCTACAAGCTATATGACACCTGCGTATGCAGAAGAAAATAACAACCACCATTTTAGCTAACCTAATTTTATCTGTAATTAATTGCTGGATTTTTTTTTGCATTGCTTTTTAAGAGCTTCCAGTAGACAATCTTCTGCTGGTTAACATATAAAGGAGCTGCAGCAATTTTTTATCCCCTGAACATCTAGCTCTGTAACTGCTCTGCATGAAACCTCACGTGCAAACAGCACGATGCTTAGATTTGCCTTGTACATTCCCTGAAAAAATCTGACCTTCATTTTATACCTAGAAAGGAAAAAAATCCACAACATGGCAGAAAAATGAGGTTACGGAAACCCCTCCCTGACTACATCTGCCCACTGCTGCCAAGGGGTCTGCACAGAGTTTTGTCTTGCAGGATCCCCAGTGCTTCTGACTGGGAGATGTGTTATTCCTACAGCTCAGCCGGAGTTTTGGTAATTAAGCTGGTGCAGCAAGGCTCATTCTGTGCCAGCAACAAATGGAGGGTTTATTAGGGAACTATATATCTCTAATACATGTATATACAGGGAAAAATTAAAATATATTGAAGCTTATTCACCCTTCTGCATTACACAAATATTTTCCTTAATGCTATTTGATCTATTGATCTTTAATTCTCTAATTTTTGTTTTGGTTTGGGTTTTTTTGCAGTTAGTTCTGGTGCACATTTTGAATTCATGAGACCAACTTTCTGCACAAGGGAAAACAAAGCTGCAACTCTACTCCCACGAAGGTCCCGGTTTCAAAGCGAGCTTGGGGATTTTTACTTCCACTGCAATTAAAGACAGCTGCAAATCTAAATCTCTCCGGCTGCCTGGAAGAAGATTCAGCCTTAAAGAAGGAAATTGGTCAGCTGTTGAAAAAGGAGACTCGGGTGTCTGACAGATGCAAGGAGTCACACTAAGGATGGCAGCAGGTCTTGGCAGCAGCATGAGGTGCATCAGGAGACCAGCAGCAGACTTCCTTAGTTGACTTTTTTATATATGCATTTAGTGTTATTACCAGAGCAACATTAGGAGACGGTGTATTTCCCCAAAAAGGCCCTAAAATGAGAGGTACTTTGTGAGAGGTTCAGAAATCCTCGTTTACAAAGATCAAGATGACAGAAAAAATGGGATTCCTTCCTTATGAACTCTGCTGGGTGAGGGAGCAGAAATGGTGGGAGCTCTACCCCGGCAGTATTTAAAAACAAGAAAATCTACGGAAGGTCTTCTCTGACAGAGGAACGGACCAGTTATCCCACTAACAGCCCTTCTCTAGCTCTTTTGCTGTGCATCTCCAGTACAAACTAACTCCAGGCATTTTGGAGCTTGGCATCCTCCAAAGTCAATCCTTTTGGTGCTGCGCTGGGGCCCAGCCGATGCGCTCGCTCAGCCTGGCCACCTTCATGGTGTCTTATTATGAGTCAGAGCTCTTTCTATAAACACAGTAATATGCCTGGCAGTACTAAACAGGCTGACTTAGGAGCCCCAAAAGCCAACAGCTCCAAGTGTTTATTTGTCATGGATGCTCTATTGGGTTTTAAAGGGCAACTTCGTTTCGAAAATACAGTAATCTGAGTCTTCCACTCGTCTCTCCTCCCAGAGATCTGCCTATTGGAGGCACACCCCACCTTAGTCAGACCATAAAGAAGTCTGGAAGGAACCATGTTCCCATTAACCAAAATAAATCCAGAGCCAAGAGCCAACAACTGAAGTTAGAGCAAAGCTAGCGAAGAAAATGCAGAGAGGCCAAAAGGCAACAGCCTGGCTGCCGCGGAAGGGTTTGGGTGTTGTTGTGACGGGTAGGAGAGCTGGAGCAGTGCTGCTCTCTGCAGCAAAACTGCAGCGACATAGATGGAGTGTGCTGGTGCTTCTGGGCAGCGATATCAAACTTGGCACAGCTGTGACGGCCGCTGTTTGGTACCTCTGCCTGGCCATCAGATGCTTCCTGCCCCAAAATACATGGGAAGAACATAAAGACCAAACTATATCCACCACTGGCTGGCTGTGCTAGAAATAGCGGGACAGCCTGGGGTACAAACCCCTTCCTGTGTCCCCAGGACAGCATCCCTCCCCAGGGCGGATGCTGGGGCTCCTCCATAAGCAGGAAGCTCAAGGGGAGGATGCCCCAAGCTGCTTGTGCGGCTCCTCTATCCCACTCCCTGCAGGAGCGACAAAACTTTGCTAATCTCTACTATTTTTCTGGTTTTCCTACAGCAGCCCATGGCAGATACGCAACACCTTGCAGCTGGAAAAGCCGCAGCTGGCCACGCTGGGGAGTGTCCCTCCTAACTGCTGCCACAACCCACCGCGTCTGCAACAGGTTTGTACCTCTTCAAGGACTCCTGCTTTACTCCTCACCATAGCAACTCGGCTATATTTCTTCTTGCCAGGCAAACGGTGTCTAATAAGGAGGAGACATTGTTTTACACCACGGCTGGAGATGCAGGTGAGGCTAAACCTGGCCAGACAGACCCAAGAAGAAGGGCACCCAAGAAGATGCTGGGGCCATTGCAGCTGCTCGCTCTGCCCTAATCCTGGCTGAGCCCATGGGGCTGATCATGCCGGTGGCCCCATGCCGGGGTGGGCAGAGGATGCCCCTCGGTTACAGTCCCACTGTCTTTTCCCCCGTTCTCCGACATGGCAGGAGCATGAAAATGCCTCTTTGTTGGCTTTGCCCCAGCAGATCTCTCCCTTTCAATTTAGGTCTGAAAATTGCAAGGCAGCTGGGAAGAAGGCAATGGGTGAAGAGCCCAGGGGGGCTGTTAGAGCCACCACAAACAGAGGCATTGATTTTAAGTCCTGGCTATGGTGGCATTAGCTTTTAATGACACAGGAGGAAGGACGGGGGGGACCGGCAGAGCCCGGGGGGCTGCACACAGCCGGGCCCCGCAAGGCAGCGCCTCTGTAGCTCAGGGCAGAGCTCACCAGCTTAGCAAGGGGATTAGTCCTCCATTCAAAACCTGCCTGGGAAGCGGCAAAGAGAGAGAACGATTTTCTTCTATGTGAAGAGGACGTATTAAAACAGCAGCAAGCAGTGTATTCATTACAGGATTGCAGCTAATCTGGTGTCTGCTTTTATTCTACTGTTGTTCTGCTCCTGTACCGCTTGCAGCAAGCAGACTGGGACAAAGGCAGAGCCAGGCTTCCTTACTAGACTCCTCAGATCTATTGGGGCAGGGGATTTCGCGGTGCATCTACATGCAAACCCCATCCTCTCTCAAAGCAGCTCGCCCACTTTGGGAAGGGTGCAGGACGCAAGCAAATCCCGACCTACAGAGTATTGAACACTGTGCTCTGACCACACGACAGACCTACATATTTACCAGACTGAAAAAATGCTTTGCCTGCGATTTGCCCGTGTTGGTTTTTGCCCCGCAGGGGCTCAGAGGACCACCTCGAAGAGGGGCCCTACCATCACCATCATCATCACCATCAGCTGCCTGAAATTCCTTCCTGTCTGCACCCCTGGCCTGGGGACATTACTCAGCACACCGAGAGTCAGGTTAAATGTATGAGACACTCTGGCTCGTGCAAATTAAGGGGGTGGTTGCTCTAATAGCCCATTTACTGCAAGTCCTGTTTTCAGACATATCAATGACCTCTTCAGAAAGCTAATTTAATTACCGTTACTGTATGAACCCTTCAATGAGACACCTAGGGTAAGTTCAGTGGGAGGCAATGGGTTTCTTTGTGCAAAACCACATCAAAAGCCCAACCCCCCCCACTTATTCTTTGGTGGACTTCTGCCATCCAGGAACTGAGCGCTAAACCAAAAGCCAGTGCTTCATACAGAGAATGCAGCCGGGCTGTGCAACTCACGGACACCCAAAGTCACCCGGTCAAATCCTGCAGCTGGATTTTAAATGGGGTGGATAATTTTATGACCGATCGCATTTGTAGCTGGTATGTTAAGACAAGGGTAATGAAATCTTATGCTTCAGGGCACATACGGATCATTGCACAAGTCAGGCAGGCATCTGCCCCTCCCCTGCAAGAGAAATTGTAATTGGCAGGGACTGGAAGGGCTAAAGTTGAAATTGGGGATTAAAGTGGCACATGGATCTAGGGAAAGGGCAAATGGAACTATTCAGCTCCTTCTCAACTACAACAGTCCACAGCAGGAAATAATGATAACAAACTTGACAGATGCTTGGACGAGTAAGACTTTTGCCCACCTCGACTGAATACAGCTATCACCCCAATAATGGGCTAACTCCGCTCAGTAGTTCCAGGGATCCTTTTAAGTTTGGCATTTCAAGGGTTTATTTATAGTAAACCAGCTCTATTACCTTCACAGGAGCTGGCAACACTTACTATGGTGACAAGAGTGGCTGGAGGCTGGTACGCAAAAAGCATGAGCGGGGGGTTTGTCCAGTGTAACAAAACATTTGGGGTTACCAACTAGAGAGGTTAGGACAGGACCTTAAACCAGGCTGAGAACAGTCACTTGGGACCTGCTACCAGAAATCCCGCTGTTCCGCCCAAAACCTGCCTTTGCCAGCCCATTGCTCGGCTCTGGCCAGTTACCTCCTCCAGCCTTCGCCTCTGCTCCTTCTGCTCCTCGATCCGCTTCTGCCGCTCAGCCAGCAATTGCCGCTTGTGCTCCTCGTTCTCTCGCTGCTGCTGCTCCAGCTGCTGCCGGCGCAACGCCTCCGACCGCTCCTTGTTCGCCAGCTGCAGCCTCAAGAAATCCCGTCTCAGCGTCGACTCCCCGGGCAGGTTTAGGATGGAGCTGCATAAGAGAGAAGCATCAGAGAAGATCCCCTCCCCATATCCTTAAACCTCTTGCCAGGGGAAGTTCTGCCTGATTTTCCATCGTGGCTCCTCTCCCCTTCATCCCGACAGCATCCCAACACCCGACAGAGCTTGGGCAGCAGCGGATGGAGGGATGGGGGGACCACAAATGTCAGGGCAGGGCAGCAGACACTGCGCTCCGTTCACAGCTCACCAGCAATTTATTTGCTAAAGGTTTCCTTTACATGAAGTTTCTAACCAAAGCCTCTTGTGCTGCAGTGGCACACACTATATTTAGCTGTTCACAAAGCACATTTAGCATGAATCATTGCCAGCTATTAAAATACTACATTATCTCAGTGAAATAATGGAATAACCTGATACTAATTACAATGGCTCTGAAAAATGTCACCAAAGAAAGTTCCAGCCCTACCGCGCTTGCAGCAGCACTGGGGAGGTTTCATGGTGAAAAGTTACATGGAAACAGGAGTTACGCTTGCGTGTAAAGAACCACATTTTAAAGAGTCTTCTTCAATTTCATCTCACATTTCTTCCACATCTAAATACCCACATTCCCGTGACAGCACCCCACCGCACCGCAGATCCCACAGGCAGTGGGGTAGCTGTGTCTTCTTCCTCAGCTGTTGGCCAAGGTGACCCATAGCATCAGTTTATACCCACGCACCATCTAGCAGAGGGAATATACTCTGTTCTGCCAAGGAACGGGACTGAGAGCTCAAACTGTCCTTTTTCCACCTCCAGTTCATACAGGCCTGTAATCCAAGCCAATTTTATACAAAGTTAAAGAGATGTAAGGGCAGAAATGAAATGCTGATTCTTACCTGGGCTCTCCGGAGTCATTTTCCTCCTCCTCCTCCTCACTTCCACTGTACTCGTACTCTGTCTCATCTAGGAACAGAATTGCTCATCAGTGCCCTTTGCTGGACTCAATTGTTTTTCCAGTGGTTGAAAACCCCAGAGCTCTGAAGGCAGAACAGACAACTCTCTTTTTCTCGCATGACAAAGAATAAGCAGCATTATTTCTCTCCATTTTCTGTTTTTAGGGGGGGCTGCAAGGCCAGGGAAGGATGGGCGGTCTCCCTGGGTGCTGGCACCTTGCACGCCCATGCCGGCCGGGAAGAGGGCTGCAGTCCTGGCCGGAGCGCCGCGGGCAGCACCAGCACAGCAGACAACGGCCCCAACAACTGAAGACGCTCAATGTAAAGATGGGGGGTGTCCATAAAATAAGAATTTATCCCCATATGACAGTGAGTGACCCCCTTCTGCAGGAGGGTTCTTCGAAGGGAGGAGCACCACAAGCTACTGAAGCCACAGGCACTGGAAGGTGGCATTTAACTATGGCTCTAAAGGCACCAACTCCTCTCTCTCTAAGCATATGCTCTTCCTATGCAAACCCATGTATTTTCCAGGCAATGAAGACATCTACATAAAAGCCCAGCTGCAATGTTTTCCTATATACTGTGATTTCTATTGGGATATCAACTTTATCGGATGAAGGGAATGATAGTAAAAGAAAGACTTGCATTTATGCAATTACTCTCCATCTCTAGGGTCCAACCTTCATTTGCCAGACTAAACACATTTAATACTTCACTGGGATCCCATTTTATTGTTTTGATTGTAGTGAAATCTATTACAAGGGGCTGGAAGGTACGCATGAAAAATTAATACCGCTACCAATAAGAAGAGAAATAGTGACATACTAATTTGCTGGATTATATAAATGAGCTTTCAAATTAAAATTCAGTTCACAAGCAGCTGAATACTTTAACAAGTTTCTTTGGCTATCTGATCTTCCTTCTAGAGGACTTTGATAGGGCCTGGAGAGTTCACTGAAAACATTCAGTTTAATAGGTTATTCCTAGTCAATGGAATTGCTTTGGGGCAAGGGTCTTATCTAGATGTTCGTTTGCACAACTCTGCTCATCATTGGTGCAGCATGAATGTCACGTAGATCAACAGACTTGGCATGAAATACATGAGCTGGGAAAAATTCAGCTTAGCAGCTTCTCCCTCCCACACGCCGGTATGTATATATGCAGACGTAAATTTTATACACACATTTTAATGAATCAAAGCTTAAAAGTTCTATGTGGAAATTACCACTTGGACAAAAAAGACACCATTTTTCACCAGGGGAAAAAAAAAGATTTAAAAACACTGCTTAGCTCTGATGACAATCACCTGTAGGCTTAGTATGAACACTGATTGTTTTTGTTATTGGTATTTATTTTTGTTTCAATGACTGAGAGGAATCAAATCAAACAAAATAATCTGACCTCAAAACCATAAGACGTGTTGTCACACAGAAGGACCACACCTATTTAACTCAACCAGTTTGCAAACAAACTTAGCCATCTGAATAAGGGAAACTGGTACTAAGACTGTGAGCAAGCCAGTGCTCTTTGCCTTCCTTCTTCTACCCACAGGTTTTAGCCCACACAGATGCACCTTGGTCTACCCTAGGGATCTCCAAGCACATGGCAGAGGTCAAGGATTGCCCAGAGCACTGCTTCTCCACTAACCTTTCTCACTTCTCCACTAACCTTTCTCTCCTCGCTTCTTTTTAGTCCTGTCGATGTGGTCCTTGAGCTGGATGCGGACCTGCCTTTCATTGGGCTGGTCTCGGATGAAGGGGTGCTTCATCAGCTGCTCCGTGGTTGGTCTCTGGCTGTGGTTCTTCACTAGGCAGCTCTCAATGAAGGACTGAAACTTTTTAGACCTGGCCCAGGACACAAAAGGAAGGTACTGAAAAAAAACCTGGAAACTATATCGATTCATGTATTAGAAAGTGAGAAACCTGTGTTTTTTGAGATTGTCTGGCTGCTACACAGCTCTTGCTCAGATGCAGCCTTCCAAGTGGATTCACATGACTTCTCGGTTGATGCTTAGCATGGTCTCAAAGCAGCTCTATCACATGTACCCTCTCTCACTTTATTCTCTCCTACTCTTCCCATGCATGCTCCTATCTATGCCTTCCTGGTGCAACCAGGAGAAACCACCATTCTGCTGAGTCTGGAGAAAGTTGGGAACCATCGGTATAACCATGGAATCACCAAAGCCAGATGTCATCAATGGCAACCAAGAAAATGCAAGGAAGTGTTCCTCCTCCCTTCCCTTTGCCCTGTGAAAGTGCAGGTAGAAACGAGAGACAACACATACAGATATAAATGCAAAACAATTAAAAAGCAATTGCAAAGCAATTAAATAATTGCGTCCATATTTTGTGGCCCCGGGCAGTGTTTTGAGAGATGTACCTTTCTGAAGATGAGGAGGACAAGCTAGGTTGATGGTTATTTTAGATTTAATCACCTGACACTACATGGCTTGTTAAAGATCAGACAAGCTCTGGGCGATGCTCGCTGCCTGCAGCCCTTCCCTGGCTCTCTCAGGGTGAGCCCCAGCAGCATTACTGACCCACCATGTCCTGGGGGCCACCGTGTCCCGGTCCCCCGAACACGGACCCAGGCAAATGGGATGTGCTCTTTGGGCAGCACAGCTTGGGCAGAGGTAGGAACGCAGCTGTGGGTGGCAGAGCCCAGCCCCTCCTTGCAGCCCGCCTTCCTGCAAACAGTTAAATTCAATCTCGGCTAAAACAATTTCAGCCAAATCTTTAATAAACAAATTTCTCTTAGTCTCAAGTGTTGCATATCAAAAGTTTTCCTGGAACTAATTTCACCACATTATAAACCCAAGAGAACAGGGATTTACAAGAAAGAAAGATGTTGCTTTAGGAAATAGGAAAATGAGTGTAAATTAATGTCAGAAGCCAACAGATACTACAAAATTGCATTAGAAGTAAAACAATAAGCTTTCAGGGATTTTACTTTTAAGCTGTCAGACTAAAAGTGATTTATCTTTTAAGTGCTAATCCATACAAATTGAGATGCAAAAATAAAATAAGCTACTAGATCCAATTAAATCCTCCCTCCAGCTTTATTAACAAGCAAATCTTCCTTCTCCACCTTGCCCCAAGAAACCCCGTGTCTCGGTGTATTCCGGAAGGGACAATCCATGCAACGCTCAAAAAAAAAATCTGCTTCTAAAATATGATTCTCCCCTGTTGGTGTGAAGCTGAAGAGACTCCGGTCCTGGGTGCATGGTCCAGAGCACCCATAAATACAGTCCAGCTGAAGTAGCTAAAGAGTTATCCTCCAGTAAGTGATGGGTTTGCCCATCTCTCGGTGATGGGCGTCCCAGTGCCCTGCGATGCCCTAAGACACCTTTGCATCCTCGAGCTGGCTGAGCAGCTATGGAGAGGGACCCGCTCACGCCTCTGGTTTTCCTGAAATCTTCCTCTCCAAAAAAGGAAGCCTGTCCAGTGGCACAGTTCAGCCCTCACCAGGGCTGGAGCAGAAGACAAGGGCTTTCTCCCTGGCTCTGATCCGGGAGGACACCGTCACACATCTCATCCCCTCCCTGGGTGCAGGTCAGCCCGTCTTCATGAACCACGCGCTCCTCCAGCTCCTGGGGTTTGTAAAGCTTAAATCAATGTTTGCAAAGTCTTTGCAGCTGTTTGGATGAAAAGTGGTATCACAGTGCAAATATCACCTCATTAACAAAGAGGTTTTGTCATCTCTTATAAGGCAGAGCTAAGGAGTGTTTATGGGAACGACATCACTAAAGTTCAAGTCCATTTTATCTGTGAAACACGGGAAGAAGAAAATAAAGCTTCATTGCTGGCTGGTTTTAATTGGGAAAGAAAATGATACCAAAGACTCTTTAATTTCATAGGAACACAGCACTATTTTAAAAGCGAGTTCAAGGATTTCGTAAGCAACAAAAGTATTTTCCTCTCTGGGATTTTTGATTCGGGCCAGCTCCCGTGTCTGCTTTCCCTCTCGGCTTTCCGTGACTTACCCTCAAAGGTGCGGGAGTCACTTCGTTATTTCTTTCACTGAAGGAAAAAGATGGTCTGCCCACGTGATGTACTTTCACGTGTTGCTGCACACAAGAAGCAAGGATGAACTCAAGGTTCCAGTTGAACCTTTCTTCATTTTGTTTTTCTCTTGTGATCTGTGCTTGTGAAAACCACTGACTGCCAGACAGCCACTGTGAAAGCCTGGTTAAACATCTCCAGTCTTTTTGGGTCAGGCTTGCAAAGCTCCAGGACCCATTCTGGCTGGGCCCAAAACCTGCAGCTGAGAAATGAGCCAAGGACAGCAAGTTTGCCCTGTGTTCCACTGAAAATACTGAAAAAAAATTGCTCTTAAGGAATAGGTGGAGTCGTACTGGCTTGGAGCTTCATCTGGGTCCTTTGGAGTTTCTCACTGCAATGAAAGCTTGGAAGATGGATATAGGTTTGAGCTGTCCAGGGTACACGTGTCCCAGCTCTACCGGAGACCAGAGATCCCTGCTTGCTCATGGAGGGGTAGCAGAGGCCAGGTGAGCACCACGCTCCCCTGGAGGGGTTCAAAGCTGGAGTTTCATTAAACTACGAGTTCCAAAGTGATCCCTTTCTCAAAGCAGCCGGGATGCCATCCCTGGCATGGACAGAGCACAGCCCTGGAGAGACGAGCCAACCCTGGTCAGACACCACCATGGTTCACCACCACGAGATGTGCAAACCTCAGACAGCCACCAGCCATGCGAGGGGAAGGTGGTGCCAAGCAACACCCCGGCTTGCACAAAGCACACCCCAGTAACTCAGAGCAGGGACTAAAATACAACTGCCACCCCAGCTCAGGTTTTACCTTAGGAGACGGGGAAATGTTCTGCTTAAAACCTGCTTTCGTCAGCCCCGCCTCTGCCTGGAGGTTGAGGAAGCCTTTGCTGAATAAACAGCACTTTTGTATGAAAAATAAACTCTGAAGTCTTACAATCCATTTTGTGCTGTAGCAGTGAGGATAATGAAGTAGGAGACTGGTGATCTGGCAGAAAACCAGTGTATAAACTATCTTCTCAGCTGACTAATAGTATCCCCAAAAGGCTGCGCGAGGAGAGCGAGGATCTTTGACACCCTCTGCAGAGCCAGCCAGGAAAGGTCCCTCTCCTCCTGGTTTGGTACTGGAGCAGCTGATGATTGGGCCAACAAAATTAAGATGCCTCCTGTCAAAGTCTGGGTGAGTTTTCAGGGGCTGGTCCTAAAACCCCAACACCATGCATCCGATGCATGCCCCTCTCGCTCTTCTCCCAGCAACAAAATACCTGCTACTTTGGCACGAAGTGTTTTCAATACCTAGCAATTACTCTTCTCCTTTTTTTATGTGTCTTCAACAAGATAATAAGCATAATTTCAAGAAATAAGGCAAAACTTCCTTCTGTGAGCTCAGCCTATCTAGGACCAAGGGGCAGTGCTGCCTCTCTAACATCTGGCAGATCTTTCCTGACCAAACCACTGCTGCACCTGGGGCAGGCAAACAGCACAAACTGAAGATGACTGTTTTTAAGGAGTCCAGCTCCATCAGTACAGAACATAGAGTAACAAAACAACATCTGCTGGGCTTCAGGAATATTTTTCCTACGGGTTTTTATTGGCATGCCCTGCTTTTTTTTCAAAACACTGATGTATTTTTTCCTGCAAAATTTTAAAATAAAGCCCAAACTAAGTATGAATCTCCGCATTCCTGGGCCTTCAAGATAAACTATCCTTTTTTTTTGGCCTGGATACAGGTTTCCACTTCAAAACGGAACCTGACTGGAAAGAAACGGGAGCCAAGCAAAGTGTCATCTGGCTTCATGCTGCACGAACTGCCTTGGAAAAGCCGAGTCGGTGCTGTGAAAGGGCAGCATTAGAGAGCATTCCCCTCTCTGCCTACCTAGGAAGCTCTCCATCCCACGGTGCACGACTCCTTCAGACCAAATTGCCTCTCCAAAGGAGATCGAGACCCGAATCTGCACTCACCAGAGTGATGCTGGAGACCGTCACCACCCGCCAAAGCTATATAAATGTAAACACCAAATCCCCAGAGCACCCGGGCTGCAGAAACAAGTTGCGCCGGAGACATTTTTACAGCCACTGAAGACTGAGAAAGAGACTCACCACTTCTTTGATTTCAACCTCGGGGCTGGGTTGCGGGGGATAAGGAAGAGGGCTCTCATGGGATGCATGTCACAGAGAGCTGCAATGTGCAAGAAGAGGCATTAAATACAGGACAGCGTCTTGCAGGCCACCCAAGTTGCCTAAAGAGTCTACCCACCCAGATGGGGAGACCCAAGTTTCCCCTGAAGCTACAAGACCTGCAGGGCAGGAGGATTTGCAGTGACAAGCGCGTGCAGATGCTGGCTCGGCAGCAGCCTGGAGCTGAGGTGAGAGCCGACGTCCCCAGCCAAGCGTCACGCGTCTCCCCAGCACCGCTGGGCTCAGCGGCCGGACACCTGCGCTCCTGCAGCTGCGTGTCCCCAGCACCCTGCCAGGTGCTGACAGCAAGGGGCCCAGAGTATGGTACAGCTGCACCACGTGCCACCACGCTCTGCTTTATTTACTTCCATTTACCAGCACACAAGGACAGTCCCAGGATAACGCTGGAAAACCACGGCAGTACGACCCCTGCAGAGGCACCAGCTGAACCCAGCGTGCCGCTGACTGTGTCACCGTGGAGGTCAGAGAAACACCAGTGCTGAGGAGCAGCGTTTTACCTGCTTTCAGTCCTCCACCTCTTCTTCATATGTATTTTATTTGAGGAAACTGAGTCCCAGAGTGCTTAAATGGTGTAACGGGAGTCACGCAGGGTTTTGTGCCTTTGCTCACTGCCCATCCTGTCCCCTAGGCCACGCTGTCCTGGCAGCTTTGTCCCCATGGACCCTGTGAGCTCCAGCTCAGCGAGCCCAGGCTGCCTGGGAAAACCTTTGCACAGTGTTTCTTCCACAGAACCCAGCACTGGCCGGTGCTAAGCAAACCCCAGCACGTTACAACCCAGGGTTAATTAAAGCAGAGCAATGCAGCTACTTACGGGGAGCACCTTCCGCCATCTCGATGGCTGTTATCCCCAAGGACCACAAGTCGCTCTGTAAAAGAAAGCAGAGGGACACGCGTGATGCAGGGGAGCATTGTCACAGCGGCGGGCACCGAGTGAGGGGGAAAGCGTGGCTCTCCCCAGCCCAGGGGCCTCAGCCCGGTGAGCCAGGTCTCCATATTCTCTACAAGCCCCCAGACCCACACCTTGGGAGCTTTGTCTCATCCTCCTGCCTTGTGCTGGGGCTTTAGAAAATAATTCCAGTCCTGTTTATTCCAAGATTTATTTCGAAACCTTCAAGGCGTTTTCGGTGTGGAACACGGCCACCTCGCTGGGGAACCACTCCCAGCAGCCGTGGTGAGGACACTGCCTGGGGAGATGCTGATGACCTGAAGGTCTCCTGGTGAGGGCATCTTAACAAGCCCTGTGCAGTAACGAACGAAACCCTGGCTCCCAGATTAGCTGCTGACAAACTACTTCCTGGCTTCATGGCTGGGGTCAGCAGCAAACCTGGCTGCCAGCTCCCTGCTTAAAGCTGGGTGATACATCCATGGATTTGATACAGCTCCACAGAAAACAGGCTGCCTGGAATGAATTAAAAATATGAAGTATCTTGAGATACCTCAGGAGACTCTTGTATCATGGACTGCTCATTAAATGGAAGCCTGAAAAGCGGCATTTCACCAGTGGAAGGAGAAATGGGCACTTTCGTTTACCCTGTTCCCAAGCTCTGCTCAGCCCACACAGTTGGTTGAGTCTCTTGAATGATCAGAGCACAGAGTACGCACCTATTTGGAAAACTCTTTGATTTCATACTTGTATGACTCTTCCTTCCATTTTCTCCCTTGCAAACAGGGACGTTTGTATCCCCAGCTCCCTGCCAGAGAGCAGCGGTGAGCTCCCCTCCAGCGCTGCCTACCCACCCCACGCCGACATCGCTGATGAGCTGCGGCTGCACCTCTAGATCTGGTAATGAGCCCCAAAGGACGCCTCGGCTCTCCTGGACAGCCGCGGAGGCAGAGACAGTACGTGCCCAGCGAGAGAAAACAAGCACCTTCCCTAACGGCACTGCCGCAACTTGGTTTTTTGGCAGAAGGCGGCTAATTCGCTATTCTGAACGCTGCGTCTAGGGCCGCTACTGATTCACAACCCAGTACCTGCTGCATCGGGAGCAGGACCCAGGCTAATTTTTGTGCCTTCATCTCAAGCGCAGCCTGACACATCTCCAGGGGGACGGAGAGACCTGCCCGAGATGGGAGGGTGGCAACAGCAAGGGCAGAAGCTGCAGGAGCACAGGGGACCAGAACAAGCCTGATGCTATGTAGCTGCAGCTGAAGTTTGCTGGAGACCAGCTAAACTCTGGTTAGCACATCAAAACCAGTAAACATTGTAAGGAGTTACATCTCAGGGTGGAAGGGATGGACTCTGCCTTCCACCCTTCCTCCTGCACCTCCAGTGCTCACGTCTTGCTCTCCATTCGCCCCGCTCTCCACCATATCCCTGCAGTCCCACTTCAGTATTCTCCTCTCTGTTTCAAGAGCTGCCCTTTCCAAACCACCTCAAGCCTCTAAACCTGCAATTTTGCAAGTAAATCCCAGAAAGGTTGTTTATCCCAGCATAGAGCCCCCAAAGCTCAGCCAGAGCTAGACATAGCCTCTAGGGACCACAAGCAACTTCTCACATACTCCATCCAGGAAAGACAACTTGGATTTTCAATTTTAAGGTACTTTTCCTCATTTTTAACTCAAGTTCCCCCCTAAAAAATGCCGTCCTTGCTACACATCTTTGGGCCTGCTTAAAAATTCTCCCTCAGATCTTATTTCCAGCAGGACAGTCTCATCCATTCTTTGTTTCTGTTCAGCTGGGATTTCTGCCGCATACTTAATTATCGCAGTCTTTCCACATGATTCAGCACACATGACCCCTTCCCTTTGGGTTGCCGCTGAACTCCTTCCAAATTCCTAGTGTGTCTTTCCATATCAAGGTGCCCAGTATTATATGCAAGATGCCAAGTGATCCTAAAGCTGGAGCAACATAGAAAGGGATTATCGCCTCTCTAAGTCTCCCAGAGAAAGCAGAAAACTCTGCGGGAAGCACACATTTTATAATGATCTGGAATTCGGGGGGGTGGGGGGGGTGTTTTATTTTTGAGTCTGAAAAGCTTTTCAGTCCACCAAGCAAAAAGACGCCGTGCTAATATATTTGCATTGTCTTGACGTGGGAAGGGAAGCAAGATTCCTGTTTCCCCCCACTTTTGATTCTAAGCTTATTTACAAGATATCTCTAAAGAAAAAAGGAAGACCGGCTGGGGGAAAACCCAACAAATAACCTCAACAATGTGAAGTTTCTATTTGCTCTTTTTTAAAGTGGTTTATTTTTATGAGGAGGTATTTACTGCCTCCTTCCACAGATTACACAGGCATCTCTTTCTGGCTAAGAAAACAGTGAGATCAGGGGCTTTTTGTCCAACAGAATAAGCCTGTGAGGATTCCTTTTTTCACCCTATAAATCTCATCTTTTGTATTCACTATTTTAAGCCAGTCGGCTAAACCTGAGAGCATCTGATTTGCAGCCCTTTAAAAAAAAAAAAAGTCATTTAAGTAATTTATATCTTCTCCCCCCCCCCCCCTCACAACAACAACACACAGAGC